TTTTCAATATCTTTAATTTTGATATAGACAAAAGTGTTTCTATAAAAATTACATGCTTTATATATTTTAAACTGGATTGCGTACGTAACAGATCAGCATTTATATTATAAAATCTATATTTATACAGAACTCGGAGTTTCATTTTATTTTGTAAAATAGGTAATATGAATATTCACGGCGAAGATGGCGAAGATAGCATAAATTAAATTAATTATATTTAAAAAGTATATTCACAAAAAAATGAAACATTGAACAAAGCCTTTTGCAATAGTATGCTATTGCATAGTATTTATAGTTTTTCACATATTTGTATGCTGAAAAAATTTTAATTAAAAAATACACGTATTAATTGCGTAACAGATTAGCACTATATACACGAAAATATCATTAATCGGAGTTTTATTTTAATGTTTTGTAAAATAGGTAATACGAATAACCGCAACAAAGATAGCATAAAATTGTTTTAATTATTTCCTTATTTGAACAAGTTCATTTACGAAAAAATATATTAAAAGAATCATATAAAATATAGTTACTAATTTTGTTTATTAAAAATTTTACATTTTGTCTAATTTTCACAAATACCATATTTTTAAATGTGCATATATAAAGATATTTTTATATTTAAATTTTTTACGTAAAAGATTGTGGGATGAGAATAACACGTATTAAAAATAAATATTCTCGTATTCCAGTGCTATAATGTTAATGTCGATATCAATATGTAATTCAGTAAGATTAAAACAGCTTCTAACTCATTATTTTATTGTTAATTGAACATGAGACTTTATCAGGATACAAACTAAATTGACTCCTATGGCTATAGGGGCCGTAGGAGTCAAGTATTCAGATAAAATTTTTCTTGGATGCTGGGCACATGAAATCAATCTCTGGGTTAAAGATATCCTCAAAAATGAGTAGGCGGTACAAATTTTTTAAAAAACTAAAGAACTGGTTTTATTTTTTCGTAACGGAAACATCTTCCGAACAAAACGGACAACTATCGATGATAACATATAAATCTAAAATAATAAAAAGAATGAAGAAAGGAATCTTGTAATCTAACACCATGCAAATATTTCTATTTTGAATGTATTTATATACTATGACATGTATATAATTATAATAAAGAATTATTATTCACAAAAACCAGGACTATCGCTATTATCTGATATTGGTGGCTGAGAATCTGATGTTTGTGGCTAAGAATCTGCAGGCAAACAGCTTTCACCCGCACAACAAATAATACCACCTTCATTAGTAGTTGTCAAAACTGGTGAAACACATGTATTGGAGGCACATTATGTTGACATATAGTGGCAAGAAAGGCCCATTGTGCACAACGCAGATCAGCAACACATGATTCACAACAACTTTGTGCGGATGTATCATTTGTAATTTGTACGCTACCACCAGGACGAACTAAATTGGTCCATCCAGCACTACCGGGAGCTTCACAACATTCTGGACATTTGGAATGATGAGGTTTATGACGACGAGCATTTATAGTTATAATTTGTGCAAAAATACAAGAAAGCAGAATAACTAAAAACAAATTAAAAGCACAAGAATTCATATTTATAATAGTATTTTGGAGGAAAAAATAATAAGAAAAGGGAAAAAAAATCAGATGATAAGAAAGAGATATAGAATGTGGATATGTTATTAGTGAAAGGAAAAAGTGCTATAATAATGTTAGAAGAGGATAGAAAAGGACGATGAGAGAGTGGTAAAATACTATCACTTTTATGAGCAAATATATATACTTATATATGTACATAATAATGCACAAATTTATTTTGTATTAATTTTCTTGCTAGTTACAGTAATCTGTAATCATATTTGCAATATTATACAAAGATAAAAATCAAAAAATTGGCTTCTAAAATTTGGGGTAATCATAATGAGAAAACTATTTCTAAAGAATATAACAACTTTCTTCAGTATTTGGCAAGTGGAGATAATATTTTGTCTAAGAAATAACTATAATCAAACCTCGATATAATCATAGGGTTGGGAAACAATAATCTGGTGCTTATAAAAAGGTGTGAGGTATGATTATATAAAGGTCAAATTTTATATATTTTATAATATGTAATTAAATAGATATTTCTAGCAATTATGATTTTGAAGAGCATATTTAAAAAGAAAAATCTATTATTACTGCGACAATTTCATGTAAAGATGATATTTTAACAGACCGCAGAAGGAACATATATATACAACTAGCCTTTATAGTTAAATGCAAATACAAGAAGCAGAAGGTACACAAAGACAAGCAGTTTCATCTGGATTACAACAACCTCCAGAGGGTAACCCACCATCATCACATATGCCACTGAGAGGAAAACATGTAAGAGTAGGGATAGAAGTTGTGGTGGTAGAAATGCAGATTAGTTTTTGAGATGATAAGGTTTAAGGGAATCAACGGTAATAGTCGATATCAACAGATATGAAAAAAGAATAATTAAAAATAAAGCAAGAGTTTATCTACTCATTGTTAAGTTACTTGCAAGGTTAAATTGTAATTTAGCAAAAATTTTAACAGTTTATATAAATTTTGAAGTCGAATTATGTATCGCACAAATTAATTCACTTAAACATTGCATACTAAATAAATTATTATCTGGTAGCTTATAACTACATATTATCCAATTACATTTATACTTGTGCGTAGGGAGAAATTAAAACTATCAAAAAAAATATATGATAGCACTTCAGAGAACGAGCAGTGTTTACTGAAAAGATCCATAACAAAAAATGTTATTGATCTTTTAGAATACTGCCCAAAATCACTTATTACTGATCTATTTGTTGATAAAATCATTTATTATTTTAATTATCTTTAATAAGGCTGTTAAGTAGATTTGATCTGCCTAGCCAGACTACTTAACAAAGACCTAGATAATACCATTATTGAAAGCTACTCAGCCAATAAATTGTTTATCTGGCAGTGAATTTAATATATTATTTCTGGGCCAAGAAGTTGACACACATTAAAATTAACAGCCAGATAATAAAATTATTTTACAAATAATTTCTGTTATTGGCTACTTCGCATCCAATAGCTCTATATTATTAAACAAGACAAGAAATTTTAAATTTTTGACAGAGGTTATATTGTTAAAAAAGCTTTTAAATCGAATCACTATAAACATCTCTAGACATATGTACCCTAATAACTTGCTCCCTTAAACCTTTAAACGCCAGAAGCTATCAATTTACTCAGCCTATTTTATATTTTTTTTTCATAATGAAGTCCGCATTTATACAAAATGTGTTAAGTGTAAAGCTTACCAGCTTCTATGTCCCCAGTGTAATTAAGTTAATAAATTCACAATAATTTAGTATCTTATGGTGGCAAATCATAACCCTCAATTTTCGAAATCCAAACTTTAAATATTTTTGTTGCAAATCCTTAATTTATGATATTGATATATGCTTCCAACATTAAATTAGTTTGAACTTGTTTCAGTAGCTTTCGAAATATAATAAATATTTTAATTAAAGAAAAAATACAAGTTTGTTAGTTCTGTTCATTATAAACTTGTAATTGTATTAATTAATTTCAATTAAAAAATAATTTATTTTTCAAATCTGATTACTAAATTATTAATGAAAGCAATGAATTTATTTTTTTTACAATATAACTTTTTTATAATATTGCCATTTTATTAATAATACCCGTTAACTTTATAAAATTAAATTTAAAAATCAGGGAACAGTTATATTATAAAATGCTTCAGCATCCTCATTAGCATCATAAATCTCAAAGAAACTATTTTTTACTGGTTTCACTAAATCTTGTTCAGAAATATCGGATAAATCTTCATCATCTGTAGTTTTCAAATTCATCCAAACTTTCGAGTTTTCTGCATTTTTTGTTGTATCTTCATGCCACTTCTTAAAAGATCTACCATTTATAAATAATATTATAATAATCGATATATCATCAGTACAATATTCAGATTGAGAAATTGAATCACACAATTTGATCAAGTCTTTGCAAGCTGATTCTAATAATAATTTAAATATTTTGTTTTTATACTGCATCATGTAGCTTAATAAAACTTCTGTTGGCATTCTCTTATAGTTTCTAAGCTGATTCATAATACCTTTTTAAAGTTTTAAATAAATTATTTTAATTTTTGATAAATTACTAATAAAGTGATGTATGTAAGATTTTTACCATCAGAACAAAGAACAAGTAAGTCTAAATTTTTAGCATTATAAATTTCATTGATAAATTCTGGTTCAGCTATAAATATAATAAAGCATAAGTATAAGAACAATAAAAAAATTAAAGTTTTTTAAAAATACTTGCCAATCAAACTATTCTTAGCTTTATCTTTAATATAAAAATCACCAAAAGATCGAGTATATTGTATTCCACGACCAGATATATTGTCTACTATTTTTTAAACGAAGAATAGGCAACAATTTAAGATACACTATCACACATTACTGAATACATATAAAGCTATTAAAGGTTATGTTAGATTTACAGTCCCAATATTTTTCTCTTTTATTAGGAGCAAATCTGATCGAATATCCACAATTTTTTTTTGAGTTCTCAACCGTAAAATTTCAGCTAAGTGAAAACATTAAGAAATAATTAAATGATAGAAATAAATATTTAAATAATCTTTTGTAGCTTACATCTATTATGCAAATCATGTTCCTTTGTAATTTTAGCAGAAAGTCCATTACTTGATATAAAAGCTGAAGAATCTCCAACGTAAGCCTAATCATAATAAATTTAAATTTTTATTTATACTGATATTTTGATATTATAATCACAAACTTACAACAATTAAATCTTTTAATAGTGTCATCACTATCATCACTGCTGTAGACCCCATCTTTCGAAAATGGTACTAACAAAAGTTTAAATAAACAATGAAGACAAGACATAAACTATATCAATATTGTATAAATAATACCTGATTTCAGATATTGCTTAGTTTGTTCAAACCCTTTTTTGATGGCACTTTTGACTTTAGTTTGTTTGACTTTAGTTTGGTCACGAAAGTCCAGATTTTTAGCAACATAATGTGGCAATTTTTTAGAACACATTTCTGAAACTTTCTTTCTTTCTACTGTTTTAAAAGGTTTGCAAATATGATAGTATTAGAATATAATTTATAATTTAATATCAATAAATTACACCGATACCTATCATAAACACCAAAGAAACTAAATCCTTTAGCTTGTGAATATTGTTTTCCCAATTCAAGATCAATTGAAATTGAATCTTCATTGTCTAATAATAAAAATAATATATCAAAAATACTTAAAGAAGATGAATGCATCTTTAGTTATTTACAAGTGCTAAAACTTCTATCTTTTGTGGACCATTTTCCCTTCTTATATGTTAAGATAATATAATCATTTTGATTCGAATATTCATTGATGAGAATTTGTCAGATATTTAATACTAAAATTATTACTATTTACTTCAGTTAGATACAAACTATCGCTATATTTATTTATAATTTCGCGCACTGGTAAAATTTTGACCGTACTTTTATATACAATTGTATTAAATTAAAATTTTACAATAATTTATTTTTTTTTGTATTATTGTGTACTTCAATCTAGCAATTGATAAATTTCTTATTGTTAGTAGTCTGTTCTCTAAAAATTAACTTGTTGACCTATTATTTAGATCAATTAAATTTCAGAAATTTATATTCAGTTGTTTTTAAAAATTCATGCACTCTGTAGAATTTATTGTAGATTAAAAAAATGTTAGCATTTGAAATGTAAAATGTACCCTGATGTTTAACTATAATTTATTTCAATTTACGAAATTAATCAATTTCCAAATTAATTATTAGATTTTCATTAAATAATTTTTTTGGTTTATCTGCATTTTTTTCATTTAGTTGATATTTTTGAATTTTACTATCCTTGTTCAGTATTCAGAATTAAACTACATTGGATGGTTTTGTTCAATAGGTATATATCCAATTTTTATCATAATCTTATATTTAAATTTTTTTTAAAAATTTAACATAGAGAACAAATAAAGAGATATTTGATTTAAAAATCAAATATCTCTTTATTTGTTCTCTACTGTTAAATTTGACCAATTAATAGTTACCAATCATGAAATCACGAATTACGCAGGGCCGATGATTTACTGCTACTACAAAATTCTAAAAAAGTAGTGCAGAATATCAAAGAATTCTATAATATCAGTAGACCATGGAAATCCCTGAAAATGTAAATAAATGTAATTTACGAATGTTACAGAATTCTGTGCATTTTATATTTTTAAACAAATCACAGAATACATTTAAAAAAAAACAGCACATGACATCACAGAATTTTTCTTACCCGAAAACAGAATTTGGTCTTAACCAAAACAAAAAATCATCGGCCCTGCCTTAGAGTTAGAGTTTGGGTAGTTATTAGATCGAGACCTATCATATTAGATCCAGTTTAAAATATATAAAGCATGTAATTTTTATAGAAACACTTTTGTCTATATCAAAATTAAAGATATTGAAAA